ACCCTGAGGTCTTTGTGGAAACTAAAACAGGGGTAAAAACAGAGGGAATATTGGGGTGAGAATATTCAATTGCCAGAAACATGACTCCAAATTAATGCTAATGTTGTTCTATCTCTCTGCCGGATATGGAAATAAGCAACTTTTTGCATGTTAACCACAAGCTTACAGCTTGACACTGACATTTGGCCTTGTATTTATTGGTCTTATATATCTGGCATATTCCAGAAACTAGCTAAAACTAGCCTGTTTACCATTAATGTTAGTCCTACCACGTATCGCACGTGACAATTTACGGTTTGCAAGTATTTTTTCTGGAATAAAACATAAACATAGACTTCACTTGTGTCTGTGACGTTTGCGGTTAATTCTTTTGCATGTGTGCATAAAAACATTTTGCCTCAAAAGGAACTATTTGTAAGTTTAGCTATTACTACATAGCCAGCGTTCGCATTAACAATTGTTTACTTACCTGTCTTGGCAAGAGCTTCAGCTATCGTTGTGTTTACAAGACGAGAGTTTATAATACGCCCTCTGAGCAGCGCTACTTCTTCAGGGCAGCCTGGACGCTAATGTGACTTGGTATCATAAAGTGAAGTTTGATGCTGAACGTTTCTTCTACGCTGGTAAGTAAACAGCTGTTAATGATAATGCTGGCCATGCAGCAATAGCAAAACTTACAAATAGCTTCTTTAAAAAAACAAGAATTACAAAATGTAGGGAACTAATGTTTATTTTTGCTGTCCTGTAACACCACAATGTAACTAACACATTATCACCATATGCAACAAGCTAATCTTTACCTGACTAACAAAGTAAAGCTTTTATGTGTTTGTAGCCGCAAGGTTGTGACACGCTTCACTAATGGGAACCCCTTTGCTCTTCCCATTCGATCGCAGCACCTTCACCACCCTTGGACCTTCTTGCACATGCCACACCCTCTGGCAGCCGTATTGGAAATCTATGCTCTCCGTAACAGGCAGCTACATCTCTAAACTCCTGCAGTCTCAGGACAACTGATCAAACATTGTTAAACTCTGTGCTATTGCTGTTGGGGAATTTATCATTCCTTGTATTTTCTCATTAGATTGGATCCCCAAATGTAACTAAACCTCTGTCCACAGACCAGAGAGAAAACAGCTACAGTTTTTGTTTTGGATACTTTTTTTTTTATTTGACTTGAAAGAAAAGCAGGAGTTTATACACCCCTGGGCTTGGCCGGCGACCTTAAACCACGATACATTATCTGGAGTCCAGACAGCCTCTGGCTAGGAAAACGTTCCTCATCAGCAGGCTGAGGAGGCTCTGCACACCCTCTGGTCCTGTACTGTCTGGAACACAAGTTCACATTCAGCAGCAGAGGGAAGATCCTTATTCTATTCTATGCTGTGTGAAGCCGCAACCGGGAGAGCACTTACTCCACAAACTCACTCCATCTGAAAGTGAGGACCCCTAAGAATATTGAAAAGATGAGGCAAGGAAAGAGGCAGAGAAAGGAACAGAGCATATCCTGCGAACCAATTATATTTTCCCACCTTTTCAACTCCCACCACAGCTCTCGCTCTCTCTATCTCTTATACTCTGTTTCATTTTCTGACTGGACTGTGAATTTGGTCAATGTTGAAGTGAAAGGCCATTATCTCTGCCGTCCAAAGAGATGGTCACTCTGTCTTGTCTACTCTGTCAAATAGTGTGGTTTCGGATTTTCGCTGAAACAAAATTACAGTTAAAAGATAAAATTTAAAACAAAAATTGCCATCACAGCATGTGTGTGAGGCAAAAATGATCCGGTGCAGATATAGCCACTGTATGAATCTGCCATCTTGAATTCATTTGCACTTGCTATTGTAGCTTTGAAAGAATATCCAATAGTAAAGGAGGAAACGTTTTGGGAAATATGCTTGTTTCCTTTCTTTCTGAGAGTAGAATGAGAAGATCAATACCACTCTCATATCTACATACTAAATATGAAGCTACCAACAAGCAGTTAGCTTAGCATGAAACCTCCCTGTCAGCAACTCTAAAGTTCACTAACTAACATGTCCTGGAGTCTTTTTGCCATCTGTAAAATTACAACTTGTTGTTTTTCTGTTTCTGTATGAATTAAGGAAACAAAATATAATAGGGTAATTATTAAAATTTAAATGTACCCACAGGCAGATTTATTTAGGCTGGCTGTTTCCCCCTGCTTTCATTTTTTAAGCTAAGGTAGGCTAATCGCCTGCCAGCTCTAGCATTTGCTATTAATCTTTTTTTATCTAACTCAAGAAACTCCATGTCAAGAAAGTGTGCAAGAAAATGAATGACCACATTTCCCAAAATATCAAACTGTTCCTTCTAGTAAAAGAAAAGAAAAGAAAAGAAAACGAGTTTTGGAGGAAAAAAGAAAGAAAAAAACCCTCAAACTGGATTCCTGATTATATTCTAAACCTACTCTGAGCGGAGAAGCATTGTGGTTTGTACCAGGCTTCTCCCTGTCACAGGACCTCCCATACTCGCTGCACTAACATGCACAGGCATGTAGTGGACATATCAGCGCTCATCAAAAATAAAGCACTGGCTTTAATAATTGAAACAGACTTTCTGGTGGCAATAGCAGTCATCTTTAATGCAGATGACAGGAGTTAAAAGGGAAAATCTGCAAACACTCCCAGCATGGACTTTCCATGCAGCTTTCTTCATCCTGCTGAGCAGCTGCTGAGCACTGCTGGCTGAATCAGAGATACTTATTGGATACAGGCCCAATGCTGGTACAGTATTGTCATTAAAATTGATAGCATTGCTTAAGTCTTATAGTCTCTGTTGACAGCTCACTATTTTTTTCTTTTGTGCAAATGCACAGTAAATGATTCTGAAGGTTTCCCAAAGCTCTAGTTTCTCTTTCAGACACTCACCTTCTGTGGTTCATCTGAGACTTGACCTTGCAATTACAGTACATTTTGTAATATTGCTGATCTAGCAGCGCTGTCACGATCTAGAAATTCAGCTTTATTCTACTGTTGGCAGTATAATGAATATAGGAACTCACACTGATTCTAATTTTGTTGTCAATGTTAGTAATTTTGGGAATTAAATCCTAATCAAATCCAAGTTTTTCTTTCTATGCATGCATACATGATTCTGTGTTTCAGCGAGTGTGTTCATGTGGATAGGCTCCCTCTGCTTCAGTATATATTTATGTATCTCTCGGTACAGTACAAGTCACTCCCTGGACTCCTATCCGTGATCGAAGGGGCCTTATTTCCCCGGTCAAATCAACACAGACGACGTCCATTTGTATCAATTACACTCCACTTCCTCTTCGGACTCATTCAGATACATGGAAGTCAATTATGTCTAATCGCTGGTAAATTACACAGCACTCACATGGCAGTTACTGTCTACATAGTGGGGAGTCTCATTGAAGGTTATCACATCGCGGTCATTAACCGTTAGGAGATAAGAGTCATGCAGGTAAAAGGAAGGAGAAGAGAGAAAGTGGAAGAGCAGCCGCAGCTAAACTCTGACAAATTGTTTGAAGACAGGTCAAGATAACAACGCTGAGATGCCACGACTGCAGGATTTCGTTGTACCTTTTATGTTGCAGATGAAGTGTGGGAAATGAGAGGTCAGTGAGACAAAAGCAAATCATGAAAAATTCAATTGAAAAAGCCACATAATACTGGACAACAGTGACTACAAAAACGTACTGATTTGGTAAAGATGCTCTTTAAATGCACTTGCTTTCATGAGTCCATTGAAAATACATATTTTCTAAATTAAATAAAAGTAGCAACAATTAACCTATGAACTGTAAACTAAAGCCTTATCACGCAGAAAGTGGCACAGTGAAATTCATTTGTGTATCTTTGCTAAATTATTTGTTCTAAAAGTTTGGTGATTATTTGCAGGGCTACATAGTAAAGTACTGTATCAAGCTACCAAGCCAACCATTAATATGTTAGCCAGCCTGGAACATGCTAGTGATTGCAGAGTTGCTACAGTTCTGTTTACTCCCCCTCGTTGCATTTCGCTGCTTAATAATTCATTAAAGAACTGTTAAAGGAATGAAACTGATAGTTGGCAAGCTTGTTAGCTTGGTCGCTACCAGTACAATAAGTACACAAAGTGTAGGCTTATTAAAAATAATGTATTTGTACTATTAACTCCTGCCCCATAAATGTCTGAAAAACATGTAGATCATAGTTTATCCACTCACAGAGGAGGTCAAATGAAACACTGCTAATAAGCTAGATAGTGTTTTAAATGCGGACGCGACCGGGCCTTCAAAGTGAAAACCAGATTTATTATTCATCTGGTTTTTTTCTTGCAGAGTTTGATTCAAAAATCTAAAACTGTCACACTTTGAAAGACTAAATCTTTCACACTTCAATTCAAATGCAGAGGTTGTATATATACTGTAGGCTATCCCTGGTGGAAGGGGGATATGAGGCTTCATCCTATATGTGACACATTTAATATTCATGATATTAATTAGCACTCATGTGGGTGTGTGTGTGTGTGTGTGTGTGTGTGTCTAAGTGAGTGTGTGTGTGTGTGCACATGGACATGTAATACTGCTTAATTTGCAAATGTATACATGCACTGTAGATATGTAATTAGCTTGATTGCTCCCGCTCTGTATGATTTCAATACATCTTTCCTCATTAACTGTTTATGTGCTATTCCCCTGTCATCATTTTCTTTTTTCTTCTACTCTCTCTCTCTCTCTCTCTAACCTTCTCTGGATCTGTTTTCAGTACTGTGGATCTGAGTGTGGAAGCAGTGTGTGTATATCGTTGCAAACGTATGTACACTTACACACACACCTTGTTCAGTGTGTGTGTTTTATGTCACTTTATATCACTAGAGCTCACCCTAAAACCACCAGACAGAAAAATGACCATAGATCATCATATCGTTACAGTTGTCACGGCAACAGAAGGATGCATTATGGGATGCACTGCTAACCTTGCATGAATATATCACCGTATTGTGAGTGTTCACGTGTGTGCTTCTCATACCTGTTTATCGGTGAGGGCGTATAAGTATTGATGATCCGGGCTGAAGAGAAGATCTCTAAGGATGGGACTCCCATCACTCACCACCACATTTTCATACAGCAAGGCAGGCTGGGTAATGGAGTTCACAAGGATCTGGAAGAGGACAGAGGAGAATGGTTACTGGTTAATAATAGTATAAACAACAAAGGACAAATAAATCACACTTGACTCCTGCCGTGGCTGCTCCCCTGATTACTCATGGTAATCCCGTGAACACACTGTAAACAGCTGTAACAGGAATAGGAATTTTCCTCAGATGAAATAAAAACTATTCATGTGGTCTGTGGATTATTAGAGAAACAGGGACTTTGTACCTGGAGAGACATGATGCTATTTGCAACACACCACCAAAAAAAATTCAATTCACCTCCATTGTATTAAGAGTGGAAGCAGAAATCTCATATATCTCTTATATATCTCAAAACCTGGTCAGATAAAAAACAATATTACCTGCATGGCTCAATATCATTAGAGGTAAGTGAGAGGATGTGTTTTGTACAATTTGGGTGAAACAACAACAAAAGCAACAACATTTGCAGGTTCCTATCAGGGCTAGACCATATGGGCAAATAATGAACAATAATAAAAACCAGAGATCATATATACTTATATATGATGATATATGATAATATTTTTTCAAACTTCATGTGCAAGACAGTCATAATAATAAAAGACCTACACCACCTTCAAGGCTGTCATCGTCATACATATTCCTTTTTACACACAGTTATGAACTGATGCTTCAACTAAACAGAGCACTGACATCCAATCAGTTTCAGCACAAATAAAGCAGGAACGTCAGCATGACTTCACATGACAAGTATTGATGGGAAGAAACATCATGGCCCGTGGCTTGAGGAACCTCTGTATTACAGTATTGTCATATTTTCTGCTGTAACAGCCTGGGGACAGCACTACATCTGCGAATGTCCTCGACTGAGTGAGAAGTGATGAAGCTACACCATCGGTCGGCTAGCCGAGTGTCGGACTTTTCCCGCCGGCCGCTGCTCTTTTCAAAATGGTTTGGCGTGAAATGTTTCTATTACATCATCAGCAAATCCACAACAGTTTCGACCATAACCCTTTTATCTAACTCAACTGCAGAAGGTAACAAGCCTTCGTTTCTATTTTCCTCTGTTTGATAATTGTACAATGCACAATGCCTCATTTTGATCCGCTCCCATTTGCCCTCTTAGCGTTACTGCATTACAAGTTAATACAAATTCAACACTTCACACTGTAACCGTTTCAAATTGAAAGCTCTCTTGTGTTTCAGTGGACTGAAACCCTTTGTTTCTTCTTTTTTTTTTTTTTTTGCTGCACTGACGTGCTGCAGTAAGCGCATTGTCTCATTTCTGGTTGCTAGAGTTTCAGAGTTTTTAACCGGACCACCGATGTGGCGGCAAACTGGGATTTCTTCCCAGGGCGCGCGACGGCCAGTCCGAACAGTCTGTAGTGCGAACAACAATAAAATCATGAATGGACATTTACTCTCAAGCGCTTGTGCACCTGTGACAATACCCTATTTACTTTTTTATGTTGACGGCACATTGTGCATTTACACATTATCTTCTATTAATTATTGAAGCTTAGAAATAAGCATTTTGACATGCCTGGCTGTGTGGCGCCATCCGTGAACTGAAAGGAGGATTTAACGCCGGCAAGTTAAAACAGCATTTAACCTTTAGTTTTGTTGTGTATGATCTCATCCCCCATGTGTCCACATGATGAAAGGACAAGGCGCATGGTCTGACCGGGAAAGAAATACTGTCTTGGACTTACGGCACCCTGTGCACACCCATTCGCAGTCCAGCCACATATCAGGTTTATACCTTGTCTTGTATCTTTGTTATCATCCTTAGCCTCTGCAAAAACACATCTAACCTTGAAGAACAACAACAAATTCTCTCTGAATACTTTTAATTCTTTCAAGACTCATTCCGTCTTCTCTAGCGCACAGCAGCTACAGTGTGTTGGGGAAAACGATGTAGTCGGTTTCACCTCATGTAAAAACATTCAATTCCCGTTTCATTTGCAGTTAACACTTCAGAAGTTTACTCAAAATGTTTCTGTCGGCTGAAAAACAGCTATTTAAGTGGCAGATAACATTTTCAGCACTTTCATTTGGTTCTCAATTTATGCTGAAACTCACAATCATTGCCGCCACACCGTAGATGTAAGTATACTACACAACCGAATGATGGTTCTTTTTTTGGTGCCGGCCGGTGTTAAGTCGACTGACAAAATGAGAGAGTCATGAGGGTCGCTCCTCCTGAACCAGCCAGTGGATTTTTTTTCCCTTCCCTCTGTACTTTTTTTTGTCTGGATCTTTCTCTTTCTAATTTCCCGACCTCTATCTGCTCATCCATCACCTGACAGCAGTTTAGTCTTCTAAAACTTTCTGTCGCCTAGACTCGCTCTGTCATCTCTCCTTTTTTTTTTTTTTTTTCTCATTATAGTCTCAACAGTCTCTGTGGTTATTATCTGCCAAATCACTTCCAGAGTTCCCCTTAATCTTTTTTTTCTGAACAGAAGGTTCACTAACAGACAGGCTGTCATCATTGTATGTGCTTTTGTTGCTTAAGAGGAGGAGGCGGCTTTGGTTAAAAGTCAAGTGCTCTGACAAATCAGCTTTAAGGAGTTACACGTTGGGACACTGAGAGTATAAAATATAGAGATTTTACACTTATTGCTAAAAATGTGAGGATGTTTACAGCAAGAAATAGAACAAAGAGCAGCAGGTTTCTGTTGGAATCTGATGCTGTTAACATGTGATTGTCAGACTTTGTCACAAAAGCTGCAAATTACAGTGTTTGTGTGTGTGACCCAGTTGTTATTAGTTTCAGCAGTCGCTTATGTTGCTCCCACATGAAGACACACACAAAAACACACACTGAAACTTTTTATGTGAATTGATCTTTCGTCCACTTGGCTCTGATGACTTCCATCTCTCTCTCTCTCTCTCTCTCTCTCTCTGTGTCAACAACAGCTTGCACTCACTCACACACACACACAAGAAAAAAAAAATATGAAAACTCACAAGAAACAAACAAAAACACTTTATCTGACCTGTCTAAAACTGCTACATGCCCTGGGCCGTCCTATCGCTTGTGAGGAGTGAAGGACTGTGGCGGAGCGAGGGGGGGGAGCAGGAGCAGGGAGCGTGCTCTGCCCTACAGCTCGGGGCAGAGGGCAGTTGGAGTGGGATTCAGGTCAGCTGGCACGGGGGGGGGGGGCTGCAGACTGGAGCAGGTGACTGTAGATTCTCATCTATTCTACTAGCCTGCAGGTTTCTGCTCTCCTTCTGCGACCTCTGCACTCTGGAAGTTACCCTGTCCAAACACAGAGCGAGGAAGTGGCAGCACTTAAGGGTGAGAAACTTTGATTAACCCCTCCGATAATCTACTTTTTCCAGTTGCTTTTCTTGGAATTCACACTGACGTGACGCAAACTGTGCGATCACATCTAGTGGAAAACTTTGCATTGTTTGTACGGCTTCATTTAAGCATAGCTTTATGTTACAAGAGTTTCAAATGAATGTCATCTGTTTACCTCGCTGAAGGAACCAGCTTCATAAATTGCTCTCTCTCTCTCTCTCGCTCTCTCTGTAGTCTGTGCTCACTAAATTCAAAGCCATAAAAGTGGGAAATAAAAAAAAGGAGTGACACTGGGGCATCTGGATCTTTTTTATATTTCCATTTAGTCCAGTCTCTCACTTTCTGGAACTTATTAGCAAAGAGCTCAGGCTATAAGATGAAAGAGACTCTGGTCCAAAAGCAGTGTCAACCTGTTTTAAAAGGTGCTTAAATATGCCTTTCTAACTGCTTCCAGGATGATTATTAGACCAAAACAAACCCCATAAAGGTTCCCACTTTGATGTTACTGAAAGCTTATGAGTCATTAAAGCAGACAGTTTTTTTTAATGATTAGTTTGCCTCTTTGGAGCCACACAATCATATGTATTTTTATCTTGCTCAGCAGTGCCACTCTCTGATGAGTGCGCTGAACAGTAATTGCTGCTATTTGCATTCAAATTATCCACCAATCAATTAGTTTCAAAACACAATGTTTATTTGGAATATATCCGGGCTAAAATGACACATCGCTCAGCTCAGTCACTTCAAAGCAGGGACGCTGCAGTGTGTATGATTTACTGAACTCTCCATTAATATTCCAGGCATTTAGCTAATGCTCTTTTCCAGGGTGACGTACACTGAGGAGGCAGGAACACGTTTTTGCGTCTTGCGTGAGAACAGCGCAATAAGACATGTATCATGTCTTCAACCTTTCAGATGAAGGACGGCCCGTCTCTCTGGTGCACCTTAAGTCACGCAGCTCTACGGAGACCGACACTGTGGGGAAAGTGAGGATCAGGATGGAAGTTAAAGGTGACTTTTTCCTAATGAGCTTCCCACCCACGCTCTGACTTTGGACTCTCCTTTACCATCCTGCATGCCCCCCCCCCCGCTCTCCTCGGACATCTCCGTCTTCTCTATCCTCCTGGGATTAGGCTCATTACCAAACCAACGCTGATATTACCAAGGACACTGTAACCCTTGCACACACGCTTCAGTCCACAGGTGTACGCAGAAATGCATACGGAGGTACACACACTCACATTCACACTTATACAAGCACAAGCAGATGTGCCAACAAGTCCTCCAGACACTAACACATTGTTTGTCATTACAGTCAAAAACAGCCCATGAGCGTTTTGATCTGGCATCCCTTTCACCGTGATGACATCATCTGTCAGTGCTAAAACTATTAGAAATGAATGTACTTATGACCATTTTCTGAACTGCCACTTGTATACATTACTAGAATAAGGTTAGGAAAAGATCACGGCGATGAGAAGAAAGCGGAAACAGGGTGCGAACACAACATCACAAGTCACATGTCATCCATCCACCCTGACCCTCCCTCTACCGGGTGTTATGCTGTATAACAATGTCTGGCTGCTTCCACCTTTGCTCCAAAGAAGCCACTTAAAGGTCTTTCTAATCGTCATGTAACGATCAAACATCAGCTGATATTATGAATCTGGACATTACGCACATTTGGTGACAATGGCAAACAATCATCTGTGGACA